GAAGAGTCGAGGAGAAAAACAGAAGCGTTAGAGAATAACGTAATGGTTTAGAGGAGAGCCTTCGCAAGTTGAAAGGGGATGACGCAGCGCGGTAAAGGCTCCTGAGGAAAATCCTTAAAGTTTACCGGACTTTAACCAATTTTCTGCACCTTAGAATTCAGTTCGGTCAGCGTTTGCGCTCTTAAAGAACATCAATTGATTTTACAAACTTAAGAGACCCTGGGATATGCGCAACGGGGCAGCTCGTGGGTAGTACACTAGGATGGCAGATATACTGGTGCATAGTACACTACTATACTAGAAGATGGTAGCACACCAGCGGGGATTACCTTCCCTGGTCAGTGGGCGAGGAACCTTTCCATCCCAGCCCAAGGTATTGATCAGCTGGCTTCTCGCGACATGGAGATTGGGTCACTTGCTCCATTCGGAGGCCCTCCGGGAATGTATCGTGTATCGGTTCCCTCCCCAACGTAGGCTGTCTTCTGGCCGGAGCAGCTGCAGCTGGATCGACGCAGTGGCTCTCACTGACGCAAAAAGATCATTTACGGGAACGGAGAGTCCAGCAATTGAGGGGACCCAATCTCACCCAACGAGCCAGTGGTCAAAACGGGGTAGAGGGCTCCCATTCGTTACTGAGGCCTCCTGTGAGAATCGGAGCCCTTCAACTGTCTCATTGACTCATTATGCTCTCTTTCACCGCTGTCAATCTTCTGTCGTGCTCAGAAGGCCCGAACCAACGGAGAAAGCTGAAGGCTGAGAAGGTGGGCTGTGATGGGTACCAAATGGGCCTCTGGCCGGCTCGAGCAGCACATAATTTCCTGTTATGTATGCACTGTGGCCAGAGGACATCCTGTCCGACAAGGGAACCCCGACCAATGCGACTTGCGAGGTCTTCTGAATGTCATTCGCGAGCTCAGACCTTGTCCATGTTTGGAAAATGGGCCTCAGTCCAACAAAGGGTCGATTGTTGATGAGTCTTGACCAAAATGAGCGGCTTTTTCACGGGGCCCTTTCACTGCCAAAGTCTCTCTGATTGACATCAGAGGGCCCCGGTCCTTCTGACTGGAGACCCCAGACCAGCCCTTCGGCCCTTCGAGCTCTGTAATCGGGTCATTGATTGTCAATCCCGAGGGACCCTCTGGATCCCGAGGGACTGAAGGGCCCGCGTGCTCCTTATGCCTACTTCTCCCCACCCCCGTCTGTGCCCGTAAGTGAAATGGCATCGTATGTATGGCAAATGAGTATCACTGAAAGTACCTATAAAATTCCTATGTTCAAAACAAACCAACTTTATTACGCTGCGGGATCCCAGCTTCACGAAATTAGATCTCAGTGCATGTCTGGCGCTTGTTATTATCCGGGGCCGGTGACCCGTCTCCAATATCATGATATCAACATGAAACGCCACTCACGTTGCACTGGGCCGAGTACATTGCAACCAATAATGTGCATATCGTAGCGACGATTGTGAGCCTTCAGGGTTTCTTACATATGTATAACACGGAAGAAATGTTTTCTCATACCGCTACGCAAAGGTCAGTTTTTGGCTGGGGCCTGGTGCAAAACTGAGCTGTTTCAAAAGTTTAAAAGTTCAGACTTTTTTGAAGTCTCGAATTATCTACGTTTTACCACGAGAAGATCCGTCGACCAGTATTATTTTCGCGCCAACTTGAATCAAGGTTCAACACTACGTTCTAACAGTAACCTATATACTGATGAACGGAGATAAGACATCATAGCGGCTCGCTAATAACGGTCCGCAAAAATTGTGTTTATATTGGATCGAACTAGTACGTTGGTAAACTTCATGACCATAGATTAACCGGAAGTGACCTGAAGAGGCTTTTGGAATTGAGGATGAATCAACCGCATCGACTTTCCGAACGGGAATAACTCACCGCCGACAGGGATAAAATCCACACTTTTGTGTTAATTATCTAAATCAAACACCGGCAAAGCACAAAATTCGCATGCAATGGGTATCTGTAGCGGTTATTTAAAAAAACAGTTTATCCATAATATTATAACGTCCCCGGTCGCTCATGGACGTCCCGCGTGGAATGATGTGTCTTTTCTTGCGCAATCTACATCCGAAAAATTATTTTGAAGATTGCCTATTGGTCAAGGAGCAATCATTATCCCAACGTTGCCTAAAAATCGACTGAGGCGATCAATGCCATATTTCTCAAAGTTGACTCACGCTGTTACGGGCATGACATTGTGTGACAAGACGTTAAGTACGACAGTACACTTACATGTTTTGTTGTGGCTGATTTCACGTTCTGACCTTGTTGAGAACTGTTGGAGGTGTTTTCAACGTGTCTTCTATGCTGTTCTAAAATTACAAATCGAGTCACCTAAAATTTCTAGTCATTTTTTTCTACAAAAGATGGGGTTTTGTATTGCCATTTCACTGAAACCATTTGCGTCATTCCATCTAGTAAAGAATCCGGGTTATGAGCTTAATCATACCTTATCATTTGGCATCGAAATATACCAGGGAACTCTAAAAATGCGCTCATTTCCACTTGCCGCCAATTGTTTGCCACGAATTTTGACGGGCTGTAAGAAGCTGGTTGTGAAAAGCAATTGGCGCGTCAACAGTTCAAGTTAGGTGGGGCCGAATAAGCGGGGTACCACAAACGAGCCGATTTTTGACATTCATGTGCGAAAATGAAACGGGGCGAAACTTAAATAAAATTGCTAGATTACGAGAGGAAATTTCTTTTTCGCATTATTTTCTTTAGTGCTGTAAGTTTTAACGTTGTAAAAACAAATTGATCGATTACAGAAACATGTGCACCAAATATTCCACCTGAAGTGTTTACATCTAAATAAGCCTATAGGATTCCGCCTATAGTATTCTTAGTCGCGTATTTCGGGAACATGAAATTTGGCAGGATGTAGAAAATGGCGAGCATCTAGATCACGCTCTTTGTTATTATATCAAACATAAACTTTGGGCACAACAAACTAATTACATTTTTGGCGATCTCTTTGCCTTCAGTTAGACATTGCTGTATGCTCCGATTTAACTTTGTGTTGTGTTTCTTACATAACGTAGACATTGCTTATCCACTCCACTGTCGGCACTCCTATGCACTCAGTTGTTATGAAAGTCAACATACGTTACGTTTTCACAGGTGCCGAACTGAACTACCGAGCAGCACAGACGCTAGAAGGATTTCGTGGTCCTCACTGTTCGAGCTGCAAGAAGCAGAGTTTCCGGGAAAGAGGTCCAGCTCATAGAGAGTCATCTTTCACCAGCCCAGCCAGCAATTCACAGCTATCCACCCATCTTCCTCCAGAGGCGCCCATCCGTTCCCCGCTAGCCCAGTTCCTTCATAACGCCCATTGGCTTCCCCGCCAGCCCAGCTCCCTGCAGGACCACCCATCTGCTCCCTGCGAAGCCCAGCTTCCACCAGGACCCCTCACCTTGCCGTCGGCAACCCAGCTTCCCCATACGAAACCCACCTGCTCTCCGTCAGCCTTGCTCCCCCATAAAACACCCCAGGTCGGTCTTCAGCCCACCTCCGTCGTACCGCATCCGCCGGATGAAATATGGAAGTGCTAAAAATGCAGTCGGCTTAAACAGTCCATGAAATTTAAGGAAAACTCTTGGGCCTTTGCCAGGGCTCCACTGAAGTTGTCTGATCACTTGTAGAGGCTGTTCTGACCCTCAGTTTTAGATGGAGACATGGCCCGTCACAATCGGTAACCATATGGTCCGATTTGTTCGGGAAATGTTAAAGATGAACTGGTAATGTGATTTTTGCTACAGCGATCATTGTTGCTGTTTTTTTTCTCACATTCTGTCATTTAAGTCATCCTGAATTGAGGCATATTCCACAAACGCAGTTCGCTCAAAAGTACATGATGGGTACCTTTGGGGTTTGGGTGAACATCTGTACTGACGTACAGTGCCCGACGTGATTCGACGGCCGACATCCTCAGCGCAACAACATGGCTGACCGCGAAAGGCCCTCCTGTTTACGCTCTGAAGCATATGTTAGAGAGTGCTCCACATTTCTATGGGATGTTGAACTGAGATAGCCGTCTTAAAGATCATCCCGTACAGTAAATAGCCCAGCCCACCCTAACACTTAAACCCCGTAGTTTCTGAAATGCATGCCGGCGAATATAAGGAAACTATTTCGCGCGGAGTATTTCAGGTCACCTTGGTATTCATGACGCCATAATAACATCACTCAAATCGCACCACGTCACAAGCAGTGCGGTGATCCATAAAATGCCACGAGCCAGGCCAATATAAATGTAATGGTAAAGTCGTTCATATCCGGCGTTGGTGAGCACGATTTCCAGATACAACGGCTGTCGATTGGCTTTCGATCAATGTTGTGCAACGTGCAATGATGCATCAACATGATATACCAACAATGATTTATCGAAGAGCGTAACTTGGCAGTCGTCGGCGGGGTAGATTCTGAGCTATAAGTAGTCTGCAAGCAGAATTTTAAACTTTATGAAATTAAACCACTTTTGACCTGACCTAGGATGACCTAAGTTGGAGCTTGTTAGTGGGAATCAGGTGTGGGACGTCGAATGGTGAAGGTTTCACAGTGATCGGTCCGGTAGGCTCTGAGATCTGAGTTGTCTGCATTGGCATGTACAATTTTCCATTCGCGTTTTGAAGGTGTATGAAGCCAGTTCAGAACTTGATGTTACCTTCCCGTGGCTTATCTCATTACACGGAATCGATTGGTGAAGGTTTCAAAGCGATTAGATGAGCCGTTTTGGATAATTTGCGTGTTTGCTTCATATGCAGGGTTTTCAGATCCTGCCTTTTGCCTAGCTTTTTACTTTAGTAGTCTTGTTCGAAATTAGATCGACTTGGCGGATGCACACTTATGTTGTGGGAAAATGTGAAAATGCGCATTTTGTGATCAATAGAAGGATTGTAGGATATTAGAAATATATAAAACTTTAATCTTTCCAATTTCATTACGCTGAAATAAAACTAACAACAAATTGACAAACCATGCTCTGTACTATATTTCCCGAGCGGACCTTCTTCCGGCAAGATCTCTAGCTCTTTTTGGAGGCGAACCCGGGGGGGTAAACATGACGTGAGTGGAGGCTAGGTCCAAGCTGAATATTCTGTTCGTTTTAGGCATTTTGCTGTCGTTTTGGGATATTTAAGTCAGTTTGCATCATTTTCTTGGATTCTGTAGCTCTTTCTTGACGATCGGTGCCCGCAAAGTGTCGATATTGGTCCTTGTATTTTGGTCGGTGTGTTCGTGTGCAATATGTGCGAACGTCTGATATTTGTCATGTGCATTCCAGCTAGCTCGTGACATTTTCTTGGATTGTTTGCAGACATGTTAAGGTTTCATTCATCCTGATTCGATCAATACATGGAGTGTGTCTGGTTCTGTTGATAGCTGGTGTCTTCTGTTTTCAGGAAACTACGCTTGCAAAAGCGATTGGTGAAGGCAGTGTTGAAGTGTGGAAAGAAGAGGGTGTGGTTTGACCCTACTGAAACTAATGACATTGCCAATGCAAACTCACGTGAGTAGTGTCACATTTTTATGTGATTCAGATGAATGTACTTTCTGGTAAGTTTACCTGAGTGCAGTACCTGAATTTTGGTTTTGGCACACTGCAGGGCATTCTTCGGCAGTAGGTGACAGTAAGCACCATGCTCTAACTGTTCTCATTGGTTGCCAAAGACTACTAGAGTTTGGCTGTACATTTGTAGCTGTGGGTGTTCTTAGGTGTGAGTCCCAATTATGGCTGATAGAAGCCAATGCTTGAAATGTTGTGTGCCTGTTGAATGATGCCCCATACTGCATCAGGATAAATCCATGATGGTATTATCATGCAAGCCATTATAATTTAAATAGAAGCATCTGAGACATGTTAGTGCAGCTACATTCCTGACAAAGTAAGATCTTTCTCACCTGAGAAAAAGGTTTGTGGCAGTGTGATGCCACCTGGGATAACCACCTCCACCAGTGGATATTTGTGGGGAACAAAGTATCTTGGGGCTGCAAGCACCAAGAAACATCCAAGGCTGGTGATTGTCTTGTGGTGGACTTATCATAAGTGATGTATGAAGTCCACTAATATTTCCAGCCACATATGATATTGGCTAGCTCATGCAGTTTTATAGAACAACTGCTGTGTTTGGTTTGTACTCAGTACTGTGTTTCCTCTATTCTGGTATATAACTTTTGACTAAAGCTAATTGCAAAACGTCTTGATGATTATGCAACATGTGGAGTTTTATGTCATGGTGATGACCGCAAAGTCATTGTAAGTGTATTTGATCATTCTTCAGCGTCATTTCTGATGCATATTGATAAGTTATGTCCACCATAATTCCAATATTTTTGGTTGCATTCAAGCATTGATGTTCCCAGGCCAGGCTGCAAAAGGTCAGACTGGTGTGTAACATCTGTGAGGGGGGGATCCCGTCATGCTGAAATTGGACAGTCAGGTTCCCTGCCAAAAGCCAAAAGTCTGATGATTGGGGAGGGAGAAAAGGATGGTCCCCAAAGGTTTTTTCGGTCAAGTGCAGTATTGGAAATTCCAAAAAAAAATTCTAGTGGCGGAGTACAAATTTTCAGTGGAGTACAAAATTATCCAAGTGCTGTGGGTCATCGCAGCTTTATTTGGCTCATCTTTGAGAGATAATAGTACAATAGGTGGCACTCAACAAAAGCGCCATGTTTGATTTACAGCAATTCATGTAAAAGCACTAAATAAAAGGAAACATCAGTATTAAACGTGGTGCACTGAAACAACACGGTCTCATACTCTGTACTATGAAACACGTGTGCATATACATTGGTTTGCAATTTATGAAATGCTCTGTGTATACAGTGCTCAACATTCATCACATGCGCACATTACAATGTACACAGCTAAACGTTCATGCCCTCCAAGGCCCTATAGCAGCTCCACCACCACCTTCTGCCCTCCACCCTCCCACTCCCAGTCAACACATGAGGCCCTGCACGTCCCACCCAAACAATAGAGGCAGGCAGCACTCTCAACCGATTTACCGAGGCAGCGCAAGTACAATGCCTGACTAGACCCGTGCAGGCCGGCCAAAAGGGACTGGAGTCCATCACTCCACTGACCCTGGCGGATAATGCAAGGTATTAATGGATTTTGATGCCTTTTAACTGTTATTGTGAAATATGATGATTCATGCTGCAATTAATTGATGTTTTTGTCCTAATTAACCCTTCTTCTTAATTTGCTTAGCCAAAGTTGTGGGTGCATGTTACTCTGGTGTCCTGGTGTTTTTGTTCAGGGTGAGATGGCTGTCTCCAAACAGTTTTTTGGCTGTTTGTAGCAACGTTTTTCGACTTAAAAGGATATTTTTTGTAAAACCTGAACTGCCAGCATTAATTTTGCACCCTTAAGTGCAAATCTAACTTGGTGAAGAAAAAAACTTGGGAAAAAAAACTTGGTGAAAAAACCTGCCATAACATTTTTGTACTCTGGTTACCAGGAAGTGGCCAAAAATCCAACCACATGGCGGTTCTGGATGAGTACAAATAAGTCCTTCATAGTCATGATGCCCATCTCTATACAACTTCCCTCCAAATGTTTACAAATAAATCTGTTCAAGGCATGAGCGCGAGTTGAGTATTCATGCTCTTGACAGATCAGTCACCGGGAGGCGAATTATTATAACCAATTGGAGAGTTTTGCTATTTTCAACCTCCAACCTGAGCTGGGAGGCAGGCACAAGCTGCTGAATAGTTGGGACGTTTCCGACGCTGAATTGTTAGTGATTCTCTTAGTTGCATTGCCATGATACGGTAGGTAGCGCGTGGGAAGGCGGCCGTCTGCGGTGGGTGATTGGGCGCGCGGTTTTCTATGGCTGTTCGTTGCATCCTTGGCAATTAATGCGGTTCGTCGTCAGTGGTAGGTTAAGTCATGTTTACGTTTGAGTTGGTTCGCATAGGGCATAGGAAATGAGAGCTTTGTTAATCTACAGACTGTTGCGATTCTGGTGCTCGTTTCTCATTTCCCAGTATTGTTCAAAGGCGATTTCCATTCAACATTCACACACTTTATTTTCCACATTTCCGTACATGGTGTATCATTTACCTAGGTGTCAAAGCAGGTTGCTTGCTATTGGGCATCTTAGTCTGGTGGGTGCAAGATTTGTGCTCTTGCAGATATAAATACATGGCTCCTGATGGAAAGAGGAAGTCTAAAGCTGTTGCACCTTCTGGTTTTATTTTGTCCTGACACAAATAGATAAAATGAGTTTCCAAAACCTGTTCTTGCATCATGATGGAGTACAAAATATTTGATTTTACCTAGTCATAATCCTTGAGTACAAAATCTCCTGGTATACATTATACCAAGTCATACATTATGTCAAGTTTTCCAACACTGGATGTTCACCTACCATCATGTTGTTACCCATACTGCTGCATCTAAAATTGGTGAAAATCACAGCTGGCTGCTATCCAAGGTTTTGGTTTACATCCCGATTTTCCAAAGCAAATGTTCAGAGTGTAAAATGAATGCACCATTTTGTGCAAATACATATGGCAGAAACTCAGTTTTAAAGCTGCCTCTGTGCTTGGGCTGCTTGTTCAGTGTAAACTGTAGAGGTGTATTACAGTAATTCAGACAGTTTAGACAAGTCTGATATGTTTCACCTTAAGGCTGCCAATGGTGGATTGTTGCTCTAACATTTTTTGATATACTGGTTTAGTTAGGGGTACTGTCCCAACCTCTGTCCCTATTCATTGACTGCCCAAGGCACAGTGTGTTACCCCAAATATCAGGGCTGTCCAGCCCTGCCCCAGCAAGATCTGCCCTTACTGCTTGTTGCTGACTGGTGCTGAGGGTACAGTGCAGCAACAATGGTGCTGTTCATACACTGAAAAGTGATGCTGCTGCCTGGCATGTAGCTGGGCTCAACAGAATGTGTTGTAATGAATTACTACAAACTTTGTACATTGGCACAAATTTATTTGGCTCATGAATGTGAACTGTATTGTTGTTAGATACCAGAGATGTGAAAGACCCTCTCGACCTGGTCATGCTCCATCGGGCATCATATTCCATAAAAGGAATGTCCGACCTTGTTGCATTTAAGGTGCAACACTTTGATGGGCATGTGCTTGTCACAGGGGAAGCATACTATCCAGAGTGGAGATCTGGGATGTTGGAAAGATTTTGGCATGATTTGCAACCGCCCCTGAGCACACATGTTGTTGCTGGTCCCTTGCTATGCTTTGGTCATGCCACATCCCTTTTGTGCCATGTGGATGGGCTCGTGATGGTGGCATGTCATTGCCCTCTGCTCAGCAGTGTCCCTATTTTACTAGTAACAGTGTCCTGTTGTCAAACACGCACATCAATGCAAACATGACCCAAATCACTGTACAACAGAATGAATTGTACTTCTTAACACAAAACCTGATGAGTTTCCCCAGTATCAGTGCTGCCAGATGTGTGGATGACATTTCAAACTTGTCATCAGAGCTAGTTACACCCTATTTGCCATGGCCAAACGATGTGAATCAGCTGTTTCCACTGCTGCTGCTGACTGGTGTTTGCCATCACTCAGGTCAGAACATCAGGAAGCTGGTGAAGGACGGTCTGGTGGTGAAGCGCCCCATTGCCGTACACTCCCGCTCCCGCGTCCGCCGCTACCAGGAGGCCAAGGCCAAGGGCAGGCACTGCGGATATGGCAAGAGGAAAGGTACCGCCAATGCCCGCATGCCCCAGAAGGTAAGATTCTGGACGAGTTGTGCACGTGTTAGTCATTTGTAGTCATGTTTTCATTATTATCACAAGAGGAATGCCAATGCATGTGTATTGTTGTCTCACAACACTTTTGTCATAACAGCATCGGTCATTGAGACTTTAAGTAGTATCTCAGGTGTCCTCTGGTTGAAGTGTAGCATTTCCATGAAGTCTGACAGCTCTGGTTGACACCCAACAGGTGCTGTGGATGAGACGCATGCGAGTTCTCCGCAGAATGCTCAAGAGGTATCGCGAGAGCAAGAAGATCGACAGCCACATGTACCACGAGCTGTACCAGAAGGCAAAGGGTGAGCAGATGTGTGTCAGTGTGACTAGGCCTGCCCTATGTGTCATGTTGTGTGACAAAACCAATTTTTAAGTATCGCGGGAACGGATGGGCAATTCCTCAACCACACTTGAGAAAAGTATGCTCTATGCCTTATTGCTCTCTTTACCTAACATGACTTCAAGAACGGGTTTGTGGGTACATGTCTTGGAAAGGCTGGTAGGGACTCGGTCACCGAGGACGGTTTGACCACCTTTGTTCGCCGTTGTGCCACGATTATTGATTTTGTGTCGGGCGTCCCGCACTGCTGCAGTCTGATATGTAATGGGCGCGCGGCTGATCCAAGCGTCAGAATTCCACGCCGATCGGGGCGGGCTTCGCGTCCAAACCCGGAGCATGAAATTCCTATGCAACATCGCGTATACCGGCAAAGGTGCTTACAATCCCCGCGCGTGGCGAAGAGTGTGACGTCACATGAGGCGATCCCCTGGCTCGTCTTGGTCGGAGAGTTGGACAGGTAACTACAGCCTGGTCGGGTTAAGAATGGCCCGAGCGGTACGGTTGCTTGCAGGTGATGGAAAGCACCTGTGATATATGATTTCTCAATACTCAGTGCCTTTTCTAAGATCACTGATTCAAGGCTCTTTTGTGTTCAAAACACGGAGAAGTTTCAACCGCAGGAGTTTCTCCCGCAGCGGTATTGATGCATCTGGATGGCGTAGGGAGGACGTGTTTCCCGTAGTATTCGGTCACGGAGTTCTGTTTTGGGAGGGATTTGTGGTGTGGAATTGCGGTCATTATAAGTTTTTCAGGCGAAGTAACGTCTAGTGGAAGTCGTTTATCAAGTGTTGTTTGCAGCGGTAATGGCTAAAGCGGTCGAGTAACGCTCGTTTGAACGAGAGGTCCGAGCCAGCTTGACGTCACAGTTGGGTAGGAGTTACGAGGCCGTGTTCGCCCCTCTGAAAACGTTCCTCAGCTCCATGGTTTCGACATTAATAGCCCTGCGATATTTTGAGAAGGCATTTTCAGCTCCGATCAATACAGTGCGATCGATTTGTGATGGAGTTTTCGGCCGGCGGTCGAACGCTACATTATGACAACGGCGTCGCAGATTGAGACCTAACCAAAGGCTGCCGTAACGGTTGCGGTTGCCTTAATTGGGCTTTGTCGCATTGGCGCATGTCACTCGCAGAGACACGGGCATAGTTGTTGGGTTCTCATGTGATGAGCCGCCTCACACGTCCGGTGTGAAGCCACCGCGTCAAGATTGAAGTCGGTGCGTACATGCAGCCAGCTGTGTATTACGTTGGCTGGGTTCAGTTGAGAAATCAACCCCCGACATTGACAACATGGCGTGCGTTTGCCGTACTGCCCCCGGCTGTCGGGTGCATGGCGTGACTCCCCGCGCCGTGCCGCAGGTAACGTCTTCAAGAACAAGCGGACTCTGATGGAGTACATCCACAAGAAGAAGGCCGAGGTGTCTCGCGCCAAGATGCTGGCTGACCAGGCCGACGCCAAGCGCATCCGCGTGAGGGAGGCGCGCAAGCGGCGCGAGGAGCGCAAGGCCCAGAAGAAGGTCGACATCGTGCCCGAGGAGGAGAAGGAGGCCACGCCCGCGCCCGCCGCGCCCGCGCCCAAGAAGTGAAGTGCTCCACCCCACTGACTTGTTTTGCGCGTATAATATACCACAGCGGACGGGATGGCCGTGTTTGAGATGACCGCGGGGCCTGCGAGCTGACGTGCGGGAGGCACTGAAGTCCCGGAACGGTTCGTCACGCTGCTCTGAGCACGAGTCACCACCTCATCGCTCGTGTCCAGTGGAAGGCACGACTATCCTGGTGCCTTTCTCCTGCATGCGCTCGCTGGATGCGTGTGTCAAGGCGCGTGGCCTGAAGCGGGAGGCTCCATCCCCGCATGTCCAGACGGGCTCCGCGAGCGGGCTTCGGTGATGACTCGTGCCTCCTGCTCAACCCGCTCTTCCTCGTTCACTCGAGAATTGATTCGAGGGGATTATTAATGATCATACAAATCTTCATACGATTGCTGAAAGCTGTTGTCAGAGATGGCTGCTTTAAAGCAGAGCGAAACACCGGGTGGCGCGTACGAGCTTCGTTCGTCCGTATGCGTTAGATATGTTCTAGTCGCATAGGTCACGGCTCTGCGCTGCATTCGCCCCGCTCATGTGGGCTGCGGTGGATGCGTAAATAACGCTTTTGACGTGTAAGGAGCAGCGGTCCTTATTGGTCCGGAGCACGCGGAGCGGAAAAGGGCGGGAGCCTGGAGGATGTATGGCCGGACCTGGTCCTCCGCTTCGGCAGCGGCAGCTCTGCCGTCCACAGAGATGCTGCGGGAACTGAGACGGGCGACACGACGTCGCTGGAGGGATTCAAATCCATTTGAGACCGCAAGTGCCGCTACCATGGACCGGCCTTAAGGTAGAGGGATAGTGCAGATTTAAGGACCGATTAGTTGAGAGGCTGCACTGTTGCGCGTGTTTTCTAGTTCTCAATTGTTCTTTTGCAGTGTCGATTTCCTTAACTGACGGCGTGGTGAGGGCAAGCTAGCAATTTATTGTGAATGTGACCTTCAGGCCAGTTAGCTGTCCTGCTTGCCGGCGTCTGTGGTCGGCGAAGTGCTATACCTCTGCTCTGATCGCGGGTCTGGGGGTCTGATCGGCGAAGTGTTACACGTCTGCTTTGGTCGAGGGCTTGTGAAGGTGTCTGATGGCGCGGGCTCCCACGGGCGACGCAGCCGCCAGGACAGGACACCACACGGCCTGCGCCGCCATCAAACCGTCTTGCCGGGAGGCGTGACAGACGTCCTACCAGGATACGGTGCCCCTGCGCAGCACCTCTAGGGTCCGCGCGACCTGGCTGCCCGCTGGCCTATGTCGTGGCAATGAATGAACCCAGTGTGGGCGGTCAGGGAATGTGTCGCTGTCTGCGGCTGGCTGCGGTTAGTGTTTTTCGGACACATCAGCTGGGTGGACGTTGATGTTTGCAGGGCACGTCAGCTGTGTGGGCGCTGATGTTCGCGGCTGAGTGGTTCTCGTGTAAGCCTTTGTCGTTACAATACGTCCTGACTTACAATAGCCAGCCACAGACTGCGATGGCACTGCGTAGGGGAGACGAGCCACCTGGCACGCCAGGCGTCAGCACCCGTCGAACGCATGGCCGCGGCGTTACTGAAAGAGATGAATTATCTATAGCTGCCTCATTGAAAGACCGCCTTCACTAACGACCAATAGGAGGCTTAATGACCGAGTGGTTGCCGCGCCCAGGAGGCGTAACGGCCGAGTGGTTAGCGCGCCGGACTCCCGCGTGGGGGCCCGGGTTCAAATCCCGGTTGCGAGGTGGCTCCTGAGCACTGATATGGCCAGTGCGGTGGGTGGTACGCCATGGCAGAGGCGCCGCGACGTGCTTCACGTGCGCCGACGCCGCCACACCACCGCGGCGCCGCCGCCGCGCCGCCGGAGCCGCCCACACCCACGGCCGCGCCGCCGGAGCCCCGCTCGCGCCGTGATTGACGGCTCGATCTGGCGACATTTGTTCGGCTTGTCCTTGGTCGGGACGGCTGTGACGGCGGGCCGACGCTGTGTCCCTGCGGCGGCTCTCGCAGGCAGTCGTGATGCCGCGGCGCGCGCATCGCCGCGCCATGGAGGCTCGTCCACTCCCGGCGGTACGTGTCATGGCTCTCGGGCGCGCTCACCGGTCACCGCCCGGTCAGGTCTCGTGGGAACATCGACGGGCACGCTGGCGTGGGACAGATGCGCACAGGCCGCGATGTCCCGTCGCGTTGCGTGCTCTGTGGTGAAAATTGCTGAATATCGGTGCGATGGTGGAGCCATCTGTTGGTGCGCACATGGCGTCAGGTGTCTATCGTAATCGTGGTATGCCTTTTGGGTCTGTACAAACGTGACCAAGAGGAGCAGGAAGGAGGTTACCCTCTGCCGGCTCGGCCGTGCGTTTCAACGGCTCAGTGAGCGGGCAGGTATCGTTTTATCACACGGTCTATCGGCTCTCTGGTGTGATGTTGCTTCGGGTGTCAGCCTTACAGTACTGCAGGCAGAAGCGAGCCGCCGAGGAACGTTATCTGAAGCTGGTCGCTGGGTCTGCAAGCTTCGCGCCACAGGCCATTAAACACCAGTCTAATTTCAGATCGCGTGCGTGGTCTTGGTGTTGACGACGATAGGCCTGGAGAGCGTGAGGTGTCAACTCCTCGGACTCCCGCAATTGACTCAAACGGTGAGAAAGCGCGTTGTATGCGCTCATACCCGGCCAGTTCCATTAGCGTGCACATAGTGCCATGGCGCCATGCACATGATGACGCATGGCGATCGTGGCAAAGGGTGTGCGCCGTTTGTCGTTCTCAGACGTGAACAGTCCATCTCCAGAGGTGGACTCGCTTCCTTTACTCACGGCCTCACCCGATTGGCGCAAATCCGTCCCACTACGGCATGCAGCGGGCACCGGCGGTGAGCCGCCTAGAGCGCCGCCCTAGACCTCCGGCCCGCACGAGCGGCCGCCTGTGCGCACAAAGAAGGTGATGAGCCGCCTAGAGCGCCGCCCTGGCCGGGGCGGTCCGGCCTAGACCTCCGGCGCGCACGAGCGGCCGCCTGTGCGCACAAGGAGGGTGATGAGCCGCCTAGAGCGCCGCCCTGGCCGGGGCGGTCCGGCCTAGACCTCCGGCCCGCACGAGCGGCCGCCGGTACGCACAAAGAAGGTGCTTGTGCGGGGTAAGGCTGGGCACCTGAGGTCTCACGGGTGGCCTTGCTGTTGCCCCACAAATTGATTAAATTTTACTCATTAATGAATTAAGCCTCACCATCTAATCCTCACTAATTAATTATAATTGGACCGAATAAATACCATCCCCCTTCAAGCCCCGCCCGGTATCTCAGTTGGTTACAGTGTATATCCCCCGGTTCACTTACATTTGGCAGGGCAGGGTCGGGTCGCTTTAAGCGCTGCTTAATTTGCCCTTGACTGGGATGACCTAAGCTGGTGATAGCAGCCGCACGAAAGGTCAGGTGGTGGTGGGCGTGACGGGACGGGCCGAACACTACGCACGTTGACCTTTCGATTCAAAATTCTCCGCTGACCCAGATTTCACTATTGGATGGCGGCATGGTGTCAGGGCTTACGCAACAAACACTGCTTAGCGTCGGCACTGATCCCAGAAATACATCCTATGAAAAAGTTCGAACTAAATATGTACAGAAAGACAAACAAACGTCCACGGCCCGGAAATGACTCAGCTGCCGTTGCGAGGCCCGCCCACCAGCACCACACTGGGCGTCCCTCCACCGCGACCTTTCACGGCGTGCTGTACACCCGCTCGGCGCCTGGCGACAGGGATGCCGCGCGGATGTACAGACCTGGCGACAGGGGTGTCGTGCGGATGTACATACCTGGTGACAGGGGTACCGCGCGGATGTACAGACCTGGCGACAGGGGTGCCGCGCGGATGTACAGACACCGGGGTGCCGCGCGGATGTACAGACCTGGCGACAGGGGTACCGCGCCGATGTACAGACGGATGTACAGACCTGGCGACAGGGGTGCCGCGCGGATGTACAGACCTGGCGACAGGGGCCGTGACGGTCGTCTGACCCCGGCCCTGTTTCAGCTGCTGCCGGGTCTGGGTGCCCTACCTCGGCCGCCAGCTACGCCCGCCGCTGCTGGTAGGTCACGACCTTGACCCGGCGGTCACGCGGGCGGCCGCAGGATGCATGTGAGCTCCATCGTCGATCAACAGCTGACGACGAGATGATGATCGGGCCTGCTGACGAATGACGTCATTTTGCGGCCGGGGTGGCGATGTCTCGAAACGTCTCATTTTTACCCGTAACACAATAGTTACAAACGTACATTCGAGCGCTGTTTTTAAAATGACTTGCCGCGGTCCCCACTCCGTGACGGAGCCCCTGGCGGAGCTGTATGCGTGCTGCGGGGCTGGCAGTGCAGGCGGTCGAATGACCGAGCGCTGGTGTGACGTGCCCTGTACACCGTCGCAGCTCGCCCACGCCCTGCGGCCCGGCCAGAAGCCCTGCGTTCAGCGCGGTGCGACGCCCAGAGCAGTGCGCGCGCTCGTCGCTGTCAGGACGGCGCTGGTCGCGGGCTGGCGGCGCCGCGTCAGACGCGTCATCACATGCCTCCCCTGTCCCCTGCAGTCGCGCCGGTCCAGAATCTGGCATCGACGCTCACCCAGCTGCCCGGCCTGGCTCAACTGCCCGGAGCGCAGCAGCTGCCGACAGTGCCCGGAGCGCAGCAGCTGCCGACAGTGCCCGGAGCGCAGCAGCTGCCGACGGCGCCCGCCGCGAACCCGGCAGGGCTGCTCCCGTCCCTCCCGACACCCCTGGCTGTGCCACGGGTGACCCTCCCGGCTCCAGCAGGCACCGGTCAACAGGTCAGACGGCTCTGTCGGCCCGCCGGGTACGGGCCAGCAGGCGGCGGTCAACAGGTCAGACGGCCCTGCCGGCCCGCCGTGTACGGGCCAGCAGGCACCGGTCAACAGGTCAGACGGCCCTGTCGGCCCGCCGGGTACGGGCCAGCAGGCGGCGGCCGTGCGGCTGCCGGCCCGGCGGCCCGCTGCTGGCGGACTGGCAGCGTCGTCACCGGTCAATACCTGGGCAAAGTTTGCAGGTGGAAGCAGACGGCCGGAGCGTGAGATTGGCCCGAGTAATGTTACGATACGGCAG